TAAAACTTTGAATCTTATTGAGACAACGTGTTGTTTATGAATTTGCTGATTTTCTTAAAAACTCATAAAAAGTTTCCAAGTGTTTTATTTTCTTTAATACCATATTTTTTCTTCAAGTGCACTTGCCAACCTGTTAGCCGTGCGTGTTTGCCCTAATAAGTCATAGATGTTTACGGCGAGGGGAGCTAAATAATGCATGCTATACCAATTCGAATCGAGTATTGATAGTGTCTTCGATTGGCTTATTGCGATGGGGCTTATTACTTTTTCAAAAGTCTACCACCCACAGATAGGCACATTAGTGATTTTGGAAATTCCACTAAACTTTGAGCTAGCCAAATCGATAATCATAAATATATTCTGTCATTGAGGGACAAAAGTTTTAAATTTGATACACAATACAAATAAATAGTTAAAGCAAATAAATTTCTGGAATTTTCTAAGATATCTACAAAATGTTTAATGGCATTCAAGCACTAGTTTTGAAATCTCAAGAAAATAAATCTAACTTGTGCAAGGGTTTTCGAAACTTCGGCTGACTTCCTCCCAATTTCGCAGTTATTTATTCCAAGGCTCGGAGCATTTATCAAGTCGGTGGCATTAACCGACTCATGAATGTTTCAAATGTCCGCTGTCCCCTGATAATGATAAATGATTTCGGTGTGGCGCTGCTCACCTCACTCGCACACGATGTAAGTTCATTGCTGGCCAAGTTCTTGTTTTGATCCTATTTTTAGCTCGATTTATTTCAACCGGCGATTTTGGGGAAAAATAAATAATGACTAGCAAATCGCTTAAAATTCCACACCACCGCACGCAGTGAAAATTCGGCTGAAAAGATTAATTGGGCATCCGAAAATAGTTGGCCGGAACCCGCTGAGACCGAGATTGAGTTCCTGGGGGCGTTTTTCTGAGTTCGCTGGTGAATTCGCGTGCCTTTTTGCAATTAAAGCCAAAGTCAAATGTTTTGCCGAAGCACGTGTTTGGCTTTTGACCCCAAAAAACATTCCATCTCTGGGAGTTTTGGGGCAAAATTTAAATGCGCCCAATAGAAAACCAGATTTTCTGGCTGAAAGCTTTTTAATTGCTGATTAATTGGCACTTCCTGGCATCATTTTTAAAATACTTCTAAAATAGCTATTGTTTGTATATTACAAGAAAACACATATATGTAGGTAATATGTGTCTAGAGAAAAATTCAGAATTTTTCTTAAATTTATTTTGATCTACGAAAATGTAAATTATTAGCTTGGATTTAATAATGACTATATTTTTCATAATTATGTAAACTTGTTTATTTATTTTCCACGTTCATACACCTACTCTTAGAACACCTTCCATTCGTTGTGGCAAATATTTTCATTTTATTTGTTATTTTTTCCGTTCATTTCCCTGGCGAGCAACAAATTTCCTTCTGCACTTCGTTCGGCCTTTTTGCTGTGTTCGACAAATGACGCCATTAATATTTTTGTTTTGCTCTTTTGTTTTTCGCACTGGTTTATGCCTTTGTTTCCCCGGTTTTTCTGGTTTTTCTTGCTGGCATGCGAATGCACATTGGATTTTGGATTTTCGGTGCAGGGATTTCTCCGTTGGAATGCGGCAGAAAGTAAATCTTTGAACTCATAAAAATCGATGAGCGCACGCAGGCGATTTGTTTTGTTTATCCATCAGATGCACAGATACGAAACGAATCTTCTACGTCTTCGTTTCGTTCTTCTTGATTTCCCAAACAGGTGACGTCATGGAATACAGATCACTGATGTTTACGAAATATTAAGGAAATTAATTGAAAGCAGGCGAGTTTTCCTTTGAGTTATTGGCAGTTTTGACTTGCCACTCAATCGGAAATTTAGAACCTGGCATTTGGCCAGTTGGAAGTAGAGGCCGGAAAATCCTTCAATCTTCCTTGCATTTCCTTTAATTTATATATACATCTAAGTATGTGTTTTTATCACATTCCAAACAAGATTAGTGGATTTAAAGTAAAATTTTTAAAGGATACTTAAGAAAAAAGGTGATATAATAGAGTGACCATGCCTTAAAAATGTCGAGATCTAAATTATATTTCATATTAACTAACTTTAAATATTAGGGAAAAATATTATTCTAATTACTCCAAATATTTTTAAAAAGCGGTCTCACTTGGCAATGGAAATGTGTGACCAAGTCATCAAAAAACTCATAGTCTTAACATATTCAATCCGAAATATGGCCCCTGGCATTTGGCCAGCTAAACAAGCAAAGAAATTGCTTTCAGACGGCGACATCCTTCGCTCACACTGCCATATCCTATATCCTGCCACTTAGAGGCTTTCGCCTCTTGCAATTATGCCAGGGGAAAATATGGCTCAAGCTGCGAGGCACTGATCTGGAAAAACCAGAACACGCAATGGACAAAAAAAGAGGGAAAATCTCGCCGCCGCCGGGGAAACTGCAAGCCGAAGAAAAAAAGGAAAAAAGTGGAGAAAGCCAAAAGAGAATACATAAAGCCAAGTACAAATTGTATATAATGCCAAGGACACTGACGACCTCAAAGAAGCGCAAACTCGCTACACAGATTCATCTTTAAAGCAGTTTCCATTCAGAATTTCAGAAAAAAAGAAACCGAAACGAAACGAATATTAATTCACAAAAATGAAATGTACCTTTTGTAGATTAGTTTTCGGTCTCATGCTTTTCCAAGGGGCTTAATGCACGAAAGCAACAGGAAATTGAAAAACCCCAGAAATCGGAAGAGCCCGAGAAGTGAGAAGGGATTGCTTGGAACACACATCACGTATACGCCGCGTATACACACACACACACCAAGGACGGTGCACACACACACACACACTTTAATACGGTGGCTAAACGTGCGCAAGTGGCGCGAAAGTGTTGCGCATATTTCGGCTCTTTAATTTCGTGCAACGTCCTTGAGATACCGAAATTGAAATTCATAACAATAAAAATAATAACAAGCGCCCGAAAGCCAACACAATTGGCTGACTAACCAAGTGGCGTTCCAAGTGGCGGCTACTTAATACGAGGAAATGCCAATTTGACCCCTCCGAACGGAAGTCAATTCTCAGTCAAAAAGATGTTTCCCTGACTTTATAAATATTAATTTACTCGTTCCCAAAAATAAATAAATATCCGTACCCTGATAAAAGCGATGGAAACCATATATTTCCTTTAAAAAAATACACAAATATTTTAAACAGAAATATTTACATTACTTGGCAGATTTTTAAATTATCACAAAATTGGTTATTAATATTTTCTTTTCATGAAAACTATTTAAAAAATAATATACTTTAAAAATAAAAAATTTTAAAAACTTATAATTGTTTAGTTTGATTTGATTTCGTGTTTATTATTATAAATTGTTAAGAAATTATTTCCATAAACAAAATCAAAAGCAAATAAAGTGTCCTTTACACATGAAATGATTTCTCGGAATACAAGTATATTTATAAGCAATATTTGATTTCTATTAATTTATGCTGAAACATTTATCTTTTAACTGGAAAAAGTAAAAATGCCACAATTTTCCGTATGATAAACTTTGCCAAATAGTAAACACAAACTTCGATTAGTGCCAGTTGAACGGCTACTCAATTGGTCCAAACTCAAACCCCATTGGCAAACTCAAATATTCCCGCATAACCCATGGATATATGTTAATTATCTATTTTATTTGAGCGACGAAGCGATGAGCCGTGACATTCCCGCATATTTGCTCGGCAAATCTGGCAGTTTCACCTAACATGTGAAGGATTTTCGTCCTTCGCTTCAGTTTGGTTTGAGGATTCGGTGGGATTGGGATGGGAAAATCTGGCTTATTTGCATGCAAATCAGCTGCGAACGCATTTAAATTCGGTTGCCTCCTGAAAAAAGCCGTTGCAGGGATTTGTCTTTGCTTAATGCGAAATTAAAATGAAATCCATTTGCCAGCCGAATGAAATTCAAATGGGATTAGTGACGATTTTGTCATCCACTTTGGCTCTCCATTTCTCTCCTGGCTGAGTTGTAAAAATAATATTAATAAAACACATATATTTCTGGAGGGAAAAAATTCAAAGAAAATGGAAAGCGTAATAAAAGCAAGTAAAATGTAATAATAATTCCAATGTCTCAGTTGCCGCTACGCATGTTACCCTTTTACCCCGCCTCCCTCCTGTTTTCGCCACCCGCTTGTTATACCGCCCATTAATCCCGCCCACCTCCCCACTTTTGGCTACTTTTCCTACTGTTTACTGCACTCATAGAAATTTTTACCTAAATACTAGAAAAGTCGCCCTAAAACCGAGGTCGCCCTAAAACTACGAAAAATTTTCTTATTATACGGGTGACTAGCCCTAAATATACGAAAAATCGCCATGGAAAATATTTTTTAGGGTTAGTTTTTCCAAAACGCCAAATTTGCCCTGTTTTTTAGGGCGAATTTTTATGAGTCGACTCCAAAAGTAATTCCTTCTTTTTAGGGCGAAATCGCCCTAAAACGCAGAACAAAATAGCCAAAAATATGTTCTGAAATTGCCCTAAAAACAAGGAAGAGTCAAACGAAATTCTAAGACGCAATTAATGGATACATATGTAATATGTGTGTATGTGTGTGTGGTTGGCAGGTCAAAACAAGTGAATGTGTGTGTATATTAGGGCGGACCTTTTTGTATGAATTTTGATGCTGAGCGCATTTGACTTTAGAGAAGTCCACCCTATTTCTTCTTCTTTGCTACTTTTCGTCCGTTGCAGTGGCAAGGGTGGGAGTAGAAAGAGTTGCATTGTCTAGACTTTGTCATAATTTTTCGGGCGCTTGGCGGCGAAAGACGTGTTTGTGAAACCTTTTGTTTGTGAAAAAGTGAAAAATGTAAACGCTATTAAAGGACTTGGGAGGCGATTCTTTTTCTGTTTTCTGGTGAGTACATACATACATAATTGTGCAATTTGGATATTAAGAACTAATTGAATTTACATATTTGTAACAAAGGAAAATGCAGCTGAAACTTTAAAAAAATTGGGTGGAAGCAGCTACGAGGAGAAATTCCTGTTCAACTAGTCGGTCCAGAAGCGGAAGTTTTGGAAGTGTGGCAGAACAAAGTAAGATCATTAATAAGAGTATACATATATGTATGTGTATATGTAAATAATGCTTAAGTTAAAAAGATGATGCAACAGAATACACACATACATATGTATATTTACAAGAAATCTGTATTTATGCACCGGACAAACCTCATTCACAAGTGCATAATCCAAAACAACCCCCGAAATGTCTATTGCGACATTTCGTCAGTGCTCGAAATTTGCTTTTGCTGCTTCTTTTTTTTCTAGGAGTAGCAGCAAACGCAATCGCAGGCTAAATGAAAATTGTGTGTGTTGGTTGTGCATTTTTATATTAATTTCTAACAATTTTTTCTTTTTTTTTTTAGATCGAGAACGCTTTTCAGATCCAGCTTTCGCAAACCACTTCTCGGACTTATTAAAAGCAGGAGTAAGGAAGCAACAGGAAATAAACCTGCTCAAATTTTTGGAAAGCCACTCTGAAGGTAAGTGCTTCTCTTTTTTTCTATTATCATATAATAATTAGACTGTTTTCATTTAATAGAGATACAATCAACTTTAATTTGGCTTGCGATCCATTCAGTGTTGGTGCCGACAGCAAGAACAAAAAAGGACGGCGGGAGCAAGAACGCAAAGCACACTATTGCGGACTCGGGAAGCCGTTTTTTTAAAGTTATTTATTATTTTTAAACCCGATATAATCCATTTAGCAATAATAGTAGGAGAGTATGTAAATTTGTATTACAATAAATTGTGTAAATATATTCGTAGTTATTGTAAATAACAACAAACAAAAATATAAAAACAAAAAAAAAATATATTGAAATTGTATTTTTATTTATGAAAAATGGCCGTGAAATTTTGGGGAGCATTTTGCATGTTTTAGGGCAATTCACCTATAAATCCCGAGAAAATGCCCTAGATCTATGAAAATCTGCCTTTAGTTTTAGGATATTTTTCCTTGTTTCTAGGGCAATTCGCCTTAAAATCCAGAAAAACACTCTAGATTTATAAAAAACTGCCTTTAGTTTAAAGGTATTTTTTCCGATTTCCAGGGCAATTCGCCTATAAGTCCAGAAAAATCGCCCTGGATTTAAAGGAAACTGCCTTTAGTTTAAGGGTCTCATTTCCTATTTTTAGGGCAATTAGCTTTGAAAATAGAAAAATCGCCCTAGATCTACGAAAAATCGCCCTAAATGTATGACAAATTCACCCGTATTTTTAGGGTAATTTGCCCCAATTTTGTTTCCTAGTCGCCATTGACCCCCGTTTTAGGGCGATTTTCCTTGTTTTTAGGGCGATTTTACCGGAAAATTTCTATGAGTGTGCAATTTGTTGTTGTCCTTTTTGTTATTCCAGAAAATCTAAAGCCGACGACACTCCAATAACTCTCTCGTTACTCTCTTTATTCACTGCGCAGGTCCTTTCCAGGACAAAAAAGAGGAAATTGCTCCATTCATTTGCTTAGATCCTTTGATCCGCCCGTGAATTCAGCTATGGGAATTTTATGGTTACTTTATAGGAATTTAAAAATATGTATATTTTTTTGTTTTTTAATATTAAAAATTCTTTGTATTTTTTAGATATTTTTCTAATTAGCTTACAGGTAGTTTTTCCTAACTAACCTTTGACATTTCACCATCGCCACCCACTCAAAAACGCCACCCACATCGTGCGCAGCCTTTACAAACGAATGAGCAGGCGAAGGCACACAGCTCAACCAATGACGTCACCAGTTGGGATTTGTGTGCGAGTGCCAGTGTGTGTGTGTGCGTAGGGAAACTCGTAATGAGGTTAGGTGAAGTTTTTCGTCCTTTTTGCAGCTCCTTGTTCGTCGTGCTCGCCTTTCGCCTTTGTGCCTGCCTTTCGCTCCACGGCAAGGACAGACGCGACGACCTACTTTGGGATGTAAGTCGGTGGGTGGTGGGCAAGGGGGCGGGTGGTAGCCAGGGGGAGGGGCGATACACGAAGTGCGCGTGGAAGTGGGAAACTGAATGAAAATTGGAAACAGGATACAACTCTGCTGAACGAGCAATGTTTTTGCTATTTTCACAATCATTACACTTGTGGGAATAAAACAAAATATTATAAAAACAAAAAACAATATAAAATAAAGAGTTTTTGAGAAAAATTGGCTTTTCACCGAATTAAAATAAATAAAAAAGAAAAGTAAAATTAAAGTATTATTTTTTAAGATCAATATAAATATTTTCTTTATAATCTGCTAGCTATTTCAGAAATAATAAAACTTTGTTAAAATGTAATTTTTTTTTTAATTATTAATAATAATATTATTAAATGACAATAGACATAATAATTTGCCTATTCAACGAGAAGTATAGGGCTTTCTTTAATTCCCGCTTAGCTGTTCTCATTATTTTTATCCCCTAATTTTTCTCAGTGATCTCTTGTAGCTGTTAGTGCCATGTTCCTTCTACTTTTGTGGCTGCCTTTGCTGCTGCTGTGGCCAATGCCACGAAACTTGGTTAGTTGGCAATCTCGGAGCCCCTTTTTCATTTTCATTTTCCCAGCTGGGTACGCGTGCACCCAAGTTCGTTTTCGTTTCTCCATTTCCCGGGCCGTGTGACAGGTGAAGGTGCAGTCACTCCACGAGGTCACCATCTCCACCATCAGCCAACCGAATCACCTTTCACCCAGAACCATTCAGAACGAGAACCCCCTCGCAGCTGCGGTCGAGAGTTCGAGTGTCTGATTCAAGGACACTGGCAAGGAGCACCATTTAGCCATTCGAATCTCCTTCTGTATCCTGCCACCTATGACCTGTCATTTATACTCTATTCTTGCAATGGACTGCGAGTTGGTCAGTGACAGAAGATAACTTGCAGCCCAGCCTTCACTTAGCCAAGAGAGAAAGAAATAATCAGTAATAACTTCTAAAAACATTTTAAATATTTTTCTTGATTTAAATATTATTTGGAATTTATATATTTTTAAAAGATAAATAATATTTCTGTACAGGTTTTAACAACTGTTTTAGCCTTCTGTTCTATAAGTTATTACCGGAAATTCGGGACTAATTTGTGAAAAGATATACAAAAATTTGATCCACAACTGGAACATTTTTTAAAGCTGACTTTCCGACTTTCCAAACTTTTTCTTTTGCCTTTTTCCTTCAATATTAATGTCTTTTGTTTATGAATTTCTTGCAGGAAGTTGGTTGTTTGCATTTGAACAGAAGATGAACATTTTTCGCAACTCCCCGCCCCCAACTCTTTTATAAATTTCTTTTGGGAACTACAAAACATTTTTAAAGCCGAATTTCTAAACTTTTTCTCCAGCCTTTTGTTGGCCAGCAAATGGCTGCCTTTTGTTTATGATTTATGGCCAAGAAGGGGAAAACTCAGTTCGTTATGCTTGCCCATGGCTTAAATGGAAATTTCTCGCAGGACCTCGATGTTTGCTTGTTTGGATGTTTTGCTGTTCTGCCGTTTGGTTACATCAGACCGCACATAACTTCAAATTACGAGCCCCTGACTACCGGAATTACTACTTCTGGCCATTTGGACCGGGGAAAACAGGGAAAATCACGTCGAGAGTTAATTAAACCAGGGATGGATTTCGGATTTCGGCTTTCGGGTCCTCATAATCCACTTGTCTCCTCCTTACATTTCTGCCTTTTTATTTTCCCCATTGTGAGTGTGTTGTGTGTGTCTTTCGGCTTTTCCTCTTTGGGCTTCCGCTTTCCATTGCCATTGTTATCTATTATTAATTCGGCACAACAATGGGCTCCGGAGTGATACTATTGAATGATTTTTATTGTATTCAATTCTCATTTCCTGCCTAAGAAACCAAAGAAACCGAAACAGAAACCAAAACAAAGCAAACAAAAATTAATATCGCTTTGCTATTTTTGGCACTGAGCTTTTGGACTGACTGGAGCCGCCGGTTGGATGGATCAGCAAAAACTACGATGCCATATATTATATTCATACATATATATTTATTTATTATCTGGGGTCAGAGGTGCTTCGTGGGGGTATATAAATTCGTCACTGGCTGTCGACGGCAATGAAGAGCACTTTTGGCTTTTTAATAATGAAGAAAACCAATCAATTTTATGGACAAAGTAAAGTATCTACTTAAATGTCTGAAGGCATATAAAGTAAATAATGAAAAAAAGGCTATTTATTTTTTTTAATTTATAAAAGAATATTATTCAATTACTATTTAGAACCAATAATGGTTATTAGCCATTAAAACACATGTAGATAAACAAGAACATTTGCTAAAATTTATGACTATTTAAAATTTGTGTAAACACATTTCAAGCACTAAATAATCACTAAAACAATGTGCGAACTTATCAATGAATCCATTATTTAAATGCCGAGTGGAAGTGATATATTAAGCTTTTATTAGCTTAATGAACATTTTTAAAGGATTTGGTAATAAATGGAAATTTTAAGAATGCAGGTTCATGATTTATTTATTAAATATTTTACTAAGTTTGGGGTATAATGTAAATTTATAGAATAAGTATTATCACGATTTCGCTAAATAATGACAATTAAAATGTATAATATTATGAAATAGATTTTAAACCTGTTTAATTATATATTTTTAGCACTTTCCCCTTTTATAGACAATTTTACTTAATCGATTTCGCTTATCTGCCATTTTCTCCTTTTTCCGTTTGGTATTCAGATATAGTAGACAGATGACTGGTTTCAGTTTTTGGCATGGACTTTTAGCCAAATTAAATAGAGCATTGAATAGCAATTTGCGGGCAATTCGGAAACAGATTTTGTTAGTGATAGTTGGAAAGGGGATTTCTGGAATTAAAGGGAAACGATTTTTGTTCAAGGGAAAATGAGGAATTAAAATTATTTTTCTGGGGAAACCTTATTATAAGAATTCCCAGTGATTCACCTTACATTTGCCCGCACTGCGTATAAACATCTTCTGTTTTTCTGTTTTGGGCATCATTTCTAATTGCAGCTGACACTCCTAATTGTGGACAAGATGTTCTATGGCGATGGCGTCCTCCATTTCCTAAATATTCACATATCCAGGCCCTTGGCTTGTCGCACATTTCCCACATTTCCCACAAAAACTGGGCCAATTGCCAAGGAGAGCCGCCCCACAGATATACAGATATTTGAAGACCGAAAATTGTTTTTAATGTACAGTAGACATTGTTGTTCTGCTGTTCTGTTGTTTGTACGTATGACATGTCCGCACTGACAACATGAATGCGCCAAACATTTAAGTCCCCACAGTCGCCTCGACATTGCCAACTGCCTTTTTGGTTTCTGAAGTCCCGTCAAAAGTGGGGATGGTTATATTTTCCGGGGGGGTGAGGGTGCTGAGATACCATATTTTCCGCACTCATGACGTAGCGGTCACATGCCCGGGCGGGAAAAACTTTTCCGCAACTTTTCGCCAGGCGGCCAGATGCAAATACTCAGCAAAGAGTCTCAAAAAAGTGATTCATTTGTTCGCCGCTCGTAACAAATTCGTTTCTAATCAATCACATTTTGCGGATCACTCGAGTGGCAAATACAAAACGAACAGCATTTTGCAAACGTGCAAACAGCCGCAACCAAAGGAAGCATTCCAGCGAAAATCATCAGTACTTTGTAGTGATTGTTCATGGAATTATTTGGAAAAAAA